CTGGCTCTTGTTTGGGGCTGAGATCCAGAAATGGGCAACTCAAGACTCACCAGAGTTTTCACTGGCCTAGGTGGAGCCTGGGGAAGGTGAGTGGGAAAGATGGTTTCTTTTTTTTTAAAGTTTCATTTTATGTGTATGAGTGTAATGCCTGCATGTAAGTGTACCTATGTGGTGCACTGCTCACGGAGGTCAGAAGAAAGCGTTAGAGGGTAGAGCCTGGGGAAGGTGAGTGGGAAAGATGATTTCTTTTTTTTAAAAGTTTCATTTTATGTGTATGAGTGTAATGGCTGCATGTAAGTGTACCTATGTGGTGCACTGCTCACGGAGGTCAGAAGAAAGCGTTAGATTCCCCTGGAACTGGAGTTACAGATGGTTGTTAGCGGTCATGTGGGTGCTGGGAATTGAAATCAGACCCTCTGCAAAAGCAGTCGGTGCTCTTTACAATGAGCTATCTCTCCAGTCCCAGGAAAGATGATTTTTAACTAGATACAGTAAAGCTTCACCTGTCCCTAAGCATAGCATGTCTTCAGAGTATGATGAGCAGCTTGGGTTTAAATGTTGTTTTTTTTTTCCCCAAATCCTAGGAGTCTTGAAAGTGACCTTCCCATCCCACTGTGACACAAAGAATCCACACCACTGACAAGCGAGTTCATGTCAGCTGGGACTACAGGGAGGCCCTGTCTCAAAAAGAAAAAAAAAAAAGAGAACCACTGATATCAAAACCAGAATCTGGTGTATGCAGCACTCTGGTATTTCATTGTAGATTTGGTTGTTCACTAACATTTAAATTGACCTTTATTATTTCTGTGATGCTAGCGAATGAAACTAGGGCCTTCCACGTGCTAGGAGGCAAGAAACAAAACAGCTTTTCAGAAACAATTGCCAATAGTTATTTATTTAAAGTAAAAATACTTACATCAAGGTAAACATCAATGAAAACTTGGTGATTTGGGAAGCAATTAACACACTCTATTGTTAAGGGCACTTTGGAATGGATGCTTGGCATAACAGCATTTCCTGTGTATGTCTTTACATGGTGCGGCACCTCTGCTTAACCTGGAATCACCGGATCTGCAAAACAAAACGACTTTAATTGTGGGCCCCATGTTAGAAAACAATCAAGCATCAAGAATAATGAACGAATGACAAGAGGAGTTGTGTAATGTCCGCACTAGTCTTCCTGCTTCACTGGGCTTAGGTGCCCTGCTGAGTGGTGACTTGGAGCACTCACTTGCAGACCCGTGCACACTCTTGATTTCAAATTTTGCACCCCCCAAATGTAACAGGTCATCTCCACCAATATCTTCGATAACCAGGGCTTTGTAGCAGTACTTAAGTGTCCAACAGAAACCACTCTGTCTGCTAAACAATATCTTGACTGCAAAGCTTCTCTTACTGTTGGTGGATAGATAATGACATGGCACAGCCATTATCACCGTGGCAACAGCACCTAGGCCCTATCAGAGGAAAATTGCACATGGAGCTGCTGCCTCTTGAGCAGGCCTGCCTCGGCTTCCTCTGGAGTATGCTTTTTCTGTCAGTCTGGTGTGCTCTAGGGTACTCCAACCCACAGCCGGTCCAAGACTGCAGATCAGATAGCATTCCACCGAATCGGGCTCTAGAGGATCCGGTTCCACGTGCTATCACGTGGGATTTAGCATCCCAAGCTCTGTTTCAGGGGGTAAGTATATGTCAAGCTGTATGTTTAAACGAGAGTAGAGCAAGCAATGGGCCGCCTGCCTCTTCCGAACTTATACAAGCAGGTTTTCCTGTACATTCTGAGCAGGAACTCCACACAGTGGTCAGCAGCTGCTCCAGAAATCACGGACAGCAACCTTTATTATTATTATTGTGTGTGTGTGCCGAGGATGGAACTCAGCGTCTCGCTTCAGCTAGGGACTCATTCTACCACTGAGATGCATCCTCTCTCTTTTTTCTTTAAAAAGGATCTCGCTATAAGGTCCCAGTTGGTCTAGAACTCCTGGGTTCAACCTATCCTCCTACCTCTGCCTCTTAAGAGCCGGGGCTGGAGACACCGGCCTAGGCCCTGAATCCATTAATTTCCTAGTTCTCCATTCGATATAGCCTTTCCTGACCCTGGCACACACGATTAAGTCAAAAGGAAGGCCAGCAAGAGGCCCCAAACAAACCGTCGCACGGTGAGAGCACTTTGAACATTTTTTTAAATGACGTAGTTTTTCTACAGAAAGAACACACGTGGATGGTGGGCGACACTGACCAGGCCTGAGTGCCCACGTGCGCGACAAGGCTGAGGCCTGGCCAGAAGCTGGAGCCCCGGGCTGGCCTGGGCGCGAGGCCGGGTGTGGAGCTGCGGTCCCGGGCTGTTCTGAGCGCGGCCTTCCGAGACCCCAGGCCGCTCAGGAGGCCGCAGAGGCGGATGCCGAGTTACCTGAAGACCATGTCCTTTCGGGACGTCACCACCGCGGGGCTACCGGTCGCGTTGCCGTGGCAATAAACCTCCGGAACCGGAACCGGCGTCTGGAAGTGACCCCTTCCGGCGTGCCTCCGGCCGGCCAAGCCCCACCCAGCGCCGTTCCCGAGGTCCCGGTGTATCCCAGCAGACCTCGTCTACTTGCGGGAGGAAAGTCCGCCTCTCGGCGTGACTCTGATGGACGTCCATGGTGTCCAATCAACAGGCGAAACGGTTGTCCAGTGTCACTAGGAGGCCTATAGGATGAGGCTCCAGCGTAAGGCCCACCCTCCCAGCGATGGAGCCACCTGATTGGTGAAATCGAGTCACTGTGGACCAGTGTTATCCAATCACCGAGAGCTTCTCGGAGCCGGTCCAATGAGGGCCTGCGGTGGGCGGGCCTAGAAGCCGCGGGCCTGGAAAAGCCTCCTGGCCGCCACAGAGGCCCGTGGGCAGCCGGCATGAGCGGGTCTCTAGGCCGGGCGGCGGCGGCGGCTCTGCTGCGCTGGGGGCGCGGCGCGGGCGGCGGGCTGCCCGGTGTGCGAGCGGCGAGCTCGGGTGTGGGCGGTGGCGGCCAGGCGGAGCAGTTGGACGCGCTGGTGAAGAAGGACAAGGTGGTGGTGTTCCTCAAGGGGACCCCTGAGCAGCCCCAGTGCGGCTTTAGCAACGCCGTGGTGCAGATCCTGCGGCTGCACGGCGTCCGCGACTACGCGGCCTACAACGTGCTGGACGATCCGGAGCTGCGACAAGGTCAGGCCTGCGGGATCGGGCGGCCAGGGCGCGGTGGACTTGAGCACACCGTGGGTGGGAGGGGGCTGGGGCCCTTGCTTGGTCGCCACTCTGGGGGTGGGGGAGTCACCTTTCCTCACCGGCTGGCTGGGGTCGGAAGAGGGTGATGGGGCTGTATGACACCCTCCACCCGCCCTGCCGGCTGGCAGACAGGGGGAAGTTCAGAGAGTACCCGGGATGAGGTATGCACTTGGGGACACTTTGCGGGGCGTGCTAGCCATTGATCTGCTTTCTAGAGACGGGTGTTGGGGAGGAGGGTCAAGCTTGCCAAGGTCTACCTAATGAGGTTGGAAGCCGGCGTCTCGTGCGCAAAGCCCAAGGTGTCAGGGACTGTCTTCTTGCTGCACAGAGAAGGTTGCCCTCTAGTCTGGCTGGACTCAGCTGGGATCTGGTAGTACGAAGGTTGGAGCTTGGGAGAGGAAGCTGCAGTGACTTCTGGACACCCCCGCCCCCCAGGTTAGCACACTGCCTCAAGTTTGGATGCAAGGGGCAGGAGCCAGGGCAGCAAGACCTGTGGCTTTTCGCTGTCCCCGGGAGGAGAGGTTGGGTCCTGATGTCTAATCTTTTATGCCGTTCACCACCTTAGGAGCATTTTCCCACTAGATCTAAGTGGGGAGGAAAACGGGCCAAGCACGGGATCTGATCCTTGGCAAGAGTTGCTCAGGATGGGTGGGCATTGGGAAGGCTGTTCCTCTACTTCTTGGAGTGGGGTCTTCAGGGACCCAGTCTCCTCATCTCCCTGACCCAGTGCTCCTGTTTGGTCACTGTGCTGAAAGCAGACTTTTCTGCGTTAGAATGAAGTGTTCTGCATTGGAATTAGTGGCCTTTGTGCGTTTGTTCACATTGGTAAGACTGGGGCTGTGGAAAGCAGATTTGGATCAGAATCCTCCTGTGAGGTCAGTCTGTAGTATAGACTACGTTTTCCTTTTCAGTAAAGTGAAGATTATGACACAGAACTTGACAGAGTTCTGGTGAGGAAACAAGAGAAAGTAAAAATGATAGCATGGCATGGTAAGTCAAGCCTGTAATGAGCACTCTGGAGGCTGAGGCAGGACCATCACCAGTTCAAGGCCAGATAGGCTACATTGTGGGAGCCCCACTCTCACCCCTTACAGAAACTACCTGTATCTTCCTATCTGGCATAGAAAGAAATCACTTAATGGTAACTGCTTTATTCTCAAACTTACGGTTTTCAAAGTATTTTTCTTCATGTTGTCTAATACTTTCCAAACTCTTCATAACTGAGCCTACATTTGCTCCCAGAGGTATTACTGATAGGCGGAGCTCTCTTTGGGGGCATGGTAAGAGGAGGAAGGTAGGCTCTTTAAGCCTTGCCAGGGGTGATGATAGTCCTTGAGTCATGCTCAGGACCTGGTGCCTTCTTCATCAGCTAAAATTTGGCTGCTTGTGAGGTTCAGGGGTTATCTGGCTCAGGGAGATGTGTAGCCCTGGGTCAGAAAAGCTTCTTGCCTGAGCAGATAAGGGTAAATACTCAGCAGTCTCTCAGCTGGGACTTTCCTGCAGTTGCCCTTAGTAAGCAGTGCTTTGTGAATACTTTGCTTAATATGAACCTTGAGGATCTTGGGTTTAGAATTTGTGTTCTGATTAGTGTAATTGGGGGGTGAGCTATAACAGGATACAGCTAATAGTGAGTCTGATAGCAGGGAGGTGTCTGTCTTCCATCTCACACCTCTGGCTTTGATCTGTGTCATTAGGTGCTCAAATAACAGAAGTAGCACTTTTTGTTGGTGGTGGTGTTTGTTGTTTTGGGGGACAGGAGAAACTTGGCTACCCTGGACTGATTTAGATCAGGCTGGCCTTGAACTTCGGTTGAGCCCCTTGCCCCTGCCTCCCAAGTGCCAGGATTACAAGTATGAGTCATCACTATCAGCTACAAACTTAGATTGTTAGTTTGGTTAAAAAATGTGTTACACAAATCGTTAAACATAACCTATGTGTCTTCTGTGGCTTAGAAGAGTGGACGTTAGTGTACGTGCCAGCATTCCAGCTGGCAGGGCAATGTGAGCATGTCCCCCATGACCTCTCTTAACCATACTGGGTCTTTACTGTGTGAGACTCTTCGTGCCTAAGTCTACACTTCAGTTTGCCAAGAGGCAGCAAGCAACTGCATGCTCACTTCGTCAGCCAGAGCACATTCTGGTGGCTTCTAGGAACAGCAGTAGGACCACTGAGGAGTTGACCCTTCCTTTTCCCTGTGCCAGAGCTTTATAGAGGGCCTGGCCCTGGGCCTGCCCCCCCCCCCCCCCCCCCCCCGGGTCCAGGAAATTTGGTGAGGAGAGGCTGCTGGTCCTCAGTTTTATTATTTTATTATCTGGGGTCCACAGGCCACAGCTACAAGGCCCTCGAGCTCCAGGCACAATGCTGCCTCGGGGTCATTGCCTTTGCTTCTTGGGCAGTTTTTTTTTTAAAGATTTATTTTTACATTTACTTTGTGTTTGGCCTACATGTGTATATGTGCACCATGTATGTGCCCGGTGCCTGTGAATGCCAGAAGAGGGGGTTAAATCCCCTGGAACTGGAGTTACATGCAGGCTGCTGCTAGCCACCATGTGGGTGCTGAGGTCCTCTGCAAGGCCAGCCAGGGCTGTTAACCACTGAGCCATCTCTCCAGCCTATCCTTGGGCTGCCTTGACACCACTGATATCACTGAGCTCCTGTGTCTGCAGACAGCATTTTACCCCCATGGAGGGTCAGGACCTTTTCTTGTGCTAGTCCTGTGGTGCTGGGAATATGAATGCCGCTTGGGCTCGTCAGGCTTTCTCTGACAATTCATATGAATAAAGCAAGGCTGTTTTTATTTACCATCACATCGCAGACTCATCTATGCACACTCTTGACAGTCCAGCTCACCTAGATCTCCATGTATTCTTTGCATCAGAATTCGTGCCTGACAAAGTAGGAGTCAAGAGTTGTTGAAGGCCTGCTACCACCCTTTTTTAAAATTTTCTTTGTAATTTTTAAGTTTCTGGCCCATGTGCATATGTGACATTGCTACATGTGAATGTTACACAACATACAAAGTCGCTGGCATGGCCATCATTCAGGCGCGATTGTTTCTCGGTGCTGGGGACATTTGGAATGCTCCCTGCCAGTACTGATTTTTGTCTACTATAGTTTTCTTTCTGGTCATAGTATGTGTTAGAGGGCCTTCCTTGAGTTCAGCTGGGCTTGGCCTGTTCTCTTCTCCCCAGCTGCCTTCTCCCAGCCCCTCTCCACAGTCATCCCTTAGTAGTTAATAAGCAGCATCAGGCATTGAAGGCCGTAGTTGAACCCTTGCTATTGCATGGAATATTGGAGATCAGATAACCAGTTGCATGTGTGCATTGAAGAACAAGCCACACCCTGTAGGCACTTCGCAGGGGTCATGGTCAGCATGTTGGAGGTGGGCAGGGCGAGACCCAGCTGCTTCACTCCCACGGAGGTAGTCTGTTGTAGGGAGAAGGCCGTCTTGTGTAGATCAGTGAGTGTGCTGAGTTCCAGTAGGACTTTATTTACAAAGGCAGGAAGAGGAAGTGGACTGGCTTGGACTGGACCGAAAGCCAGTTTGCCATCCTCAGGTCTAGAGATAACACCTGTAAGGTGTTCATGATAATGTGGCTTGCGATGGTGATGAATGACAAGATGGAATCCTGTTCTCTTGGTCCGGAACTGGATAAACAGACTGTAGCTCAGTGCTGTAGTGTAAAGCTAAACTGGTCTTAAAGCAAGCTAGAGTATGGTGTATTTAACATGGCTAAATATCAGAAGTACTGTGTTCAGTCACAAAGTGGCAAGGTGTGGTAGAGAGTATAACATCTGCAACGTCTGCGAAAACAGTTGTTAAAGATCAAAGACAGTCCTGTGTATCGTAGATACATGTGCATAGTGTATAACACTTGTAACATCTGCGTATATAGGTGTAGAAATGGAAGACAGCCTTGTGTATTGTAGATGCGTGTGCAGTGAACATGTAGAGATGGGTGGCACAGCCTATGGAGAGGGTCCATGGGTTAGAAGACTGGCTTTGGACTTGAGAAGCCTGGGTGCTGTTCTGGAGCACCATCTGTTAACTTTGACTTTGGGGGAGTTACTTAACCTCTCTGAGCCCTAGCTTCTTCGTCTGTAAAATGGGGCTGATTATGCCCTATGTTTGTAATGATTATGTGGAATATTCAGGGACACACTTAGAGCGTGACGGTCTAGCCCTGAGCTCAGCAAATGGTGTTTTCTTTACTGTACAGCACAGCCACCTTGAGTTGTTCCGAGTTCCTTCCTGGCACTCTCTCATATGTTGTTCAGAAAAGTGTTTGGGCACACCCATATTGTGCTTACTGTGGCTGGGAGCTTAAGTTGCCCCACCAATCAGAATTCATTTCATCTTCCCAGTGAATCTGTGAGGCAGCGCGAGTTCATTTTGCAGAAGGACATGGAAACCGAGGTTGAAAGACTCACCCATTTCTGAGGCCAGGAGGGCTATAGTCCCGCTATCCCTGGCTCTTTGTCTCTTGGGGCTCTGCTGGTTTCTATGCTGAGATCCGCCATCTCCACCAGTCTCCAAGTTAGGGGACAGATAGAAAATGTGACCACAGGAGGTAATAAGACTTGCCTGAGGTCATAGAGCCTGGCCTGTGACTGTGGGAGTTAGACCACATCAGATTCTCCTGAACTTCTCCAGGGACCTGGAAACCACCGGAATGGGGATGGGGCACTTAAGTGCACTAGTGTGGAAAGCACCTTTTGAAAGTGAGTTGCAGCAGAGGGTTTTCAAGGGTATTTTCTCTGTTCTTTTGTTCTGGCTCGATAAACTGGAATTTGTGTGCACACACATGCCTGTGTGCACATGCATGTATGTGTGTGTGTGTGTGTGCACATGGATATGGAGGCCAGAGGTCTATGGCAGGGGTCTTCCTCAATCATTCTCTATTTGTTTTCTAAGATGGTCTCTCACTGAGAGAGAGCCTGGCTAAACTGGCCATTGAGCCCCAGGGACCCTCCTGGCTCCGCCTCCAAAGCACTGATTGTGAGCACTCCCTGCCATGCCCAGCTGCTTTCTGTGGGCTCTGGGGGAGCAAAGATATGGAGGCCAGAGGTCCATGGCAGGGGTCTTCCTCAGTCATTCTCTATTTGTTTTCTAAGATGGTCTCTCACTGAGAGAGAGCCTGGCTAAACTGGCCATTGAGCCCCAGGGACCCTCCTGGCTCCGCCTCCAAAGCACTGATTGTGAGCACTCCCTGCCATGCCCAGCTGCTTTCTGTGGGCTCTGGGGGAGCAAACACAAGTCCAAGCACTTTACAAACTGAGACGTCTCGGCAGCTGGGGAGTACTGTTTTCGGGTTTGATTTCGATGAGCAGTGGTGTTGTGCAAACTGACTTCTCAGCCCCCCCGCCTCTCAGTGAATAACTTGAAATCAACATTTTTGGTCCTGAATTTGATCGCTACCCATCGTGGATGAAACATGGTTGTCACTAACACCCATTCTTGGTCTGGTATTCTAAGTTTCAAAGTTCCTTTCTGATTTGAACTTACTTCAAGGCACATTTTAAAGGACTGTCACTAAATACTGCAGTTTCTGAAAACTAAAGTCTGGAGGAGATAAACCGTGTTTAACAATTCCTTGTGGGTCTCTAGGATTCAGTTAAGGTTTTAGCTTATGGACTGTGGTCTGTAATTACTAGAAGTTTCTCACTTTACTCCATAGGAAGCAATCAGATATCACCTTCGATATAGGCTCATACCTAAAATCTCAGCATTTCAGAGACTGAGGCAGGAGGAGCATTGCGAATTTGAGGCTAGCCTAGGCTACACATTAAGTTCCAGGCCAGCCTTGGCTACGTAGAAAGAGCCTGTCTCATAAAACCAACAAAAATTAAAGAAGCAGAAACATTTAATCCAGATGAACTGCCAGCCAGTGGAACCTTGAGTGCTGTCAGGAGAATGCCATCATTTGCCTATGAGGTAGAGGTCTTGAAATTTCAGCCATGAGGCAAGACGGTGGGCAGAGAGGCCTGGAGGCTTGACAGGGCCTGGCCTGAAAGTCACTTGTTTGGCAGCTTGGTGACAGACCTTGTGGTGGAGTGCCTGCTTTCCTTATAGTCATCAGTAATATAAGGCTTCACGCATGAGCCACCCAGGTCGTTGATCCAGTTGAGGTGCTATCAAAACTCAGGATGTGACAAGCCAGCCTCCTGCTTCTGCAGCTGTGTCTGGACTGTAGCCCTGGGAGCTGGGAGCTGTAAGCTGAAGTAAGCCCTTTGTCCCTTAAAACAAAGAAATAATGGATGGAAAACCATTTTTCTCCCTCCACAAAGATTTTACTAAACATGGTGACACTCTTTAGGATTCAGTGAAGTTGTGGGTGGCCTCAGGCACCATGTGTATTTTCATTTTGGTGTGTTTCAAAATGATAGGCACCCAACAGGAGTCATCAGTGAAAGCTTCTTAGGAAGGACCGCGCAACATGGATAAACACAGACCATGCATCTGAGTACTTCATCTGTGTAAACGGTATTTAAGTTCAGAAGTGAAAGGAGCTCATTTTTAAACATTTCTTATTCCTACACCCCAGTCCCGGTCATAAAGTAAGAGATGGTAACTGACATGGTTGTAAGATAAGCTCCCATAAGCTGCGTGGATTTGAGGGTCAAGTAAAGAGATGAAAACAAAAGCCAAGTGCACACGGCTGGCTAGCGTGCTAAGTGTGTTTACATGGACTTTGACTTGGGCAGGGTATCTCCTGTGTCTACAACTTGATGTTGTAAAGACATCCTAATGACTAGTAGAGTCGAAGAGTTTATCCTCTATTGCTACCCCTACCCCCTTCTTGACCGGGCCTCTCTCTGAAGTCCAGACCCGCCTTAGCGGAGTGCTGGCAACATTGGCCCCCACACCCGGCTGGGGGCTACTTCTAAATGTGTGATGCCTGGAGAAGAGAGATAAACCTGTGATTGGGCTTCGTCCTGCTCTGTTGTCAGCGCACTCAGTACTGTTCAAAGAAAGACAGTAACTTTTTTAAAATTTTATTTTTTCTGTGCATGAGTGTACTGCCTGCATGTGTGTAAGTGCACCCGTGTCATGCAGTGCCGGAGGAGATCAGAAGATGGCGTTGGGTCCCTGTAACTGGTGTTACAGACGGTTGTTAGCTCCCATGTGGGTACTGGGAATTGAACCTGGTCCTCTGTAACAGCAGCCAGTGCTCTTGACTGCTGAGCCATCTCTCCAGCCCCAAGATAGCAACTTTTATGAGAAAAATACATTGTATCTTGAGATTGTTGTGATAAAACTCAAATTGTTAAGTTTATTTGGAAAATAAATAACAAATGATAAGGTACCAAGAAAAAATTTGTACTTTTAGTTTGTCTACATAAAAAAATCACCACATGACTGGGCTTTTAGTTTTCATGATACTGTATTTTGTTGGAAGCATCTGTTTGCTTATTTATTTTTATTTTTTATATTTTATTTTTAATTTTATGTGTATGGATGTATTGCCTGCATGTATGTAAGTGTGCCCATGTGATGCAATGCCCACAGAGGTCAGAAGAGTGTTAGTCCCCTGGAACTGGAGGAGTGAATAGCTGTTAGTCGCTATGTGGGTGCTGGGAATCAAACCTGGGTCCTCTGCAAGAGCAGTCAGTGCTCTTAACCTTGGAGCCATCTCTTCAGCCCCTCATCTTTCTGTCCTGCTCCTATTTTGTTAGCGCCATCATCCTTCTGGCTCAGCCCTG